TGTCACCAACGGCAACCAAGGCTCTGATACAATGGGAGGCGACCTCACCCAGAATAATGACCGCCAGATTCAACTCCAAAGGAAAAAAGTGTCAATTATACAGTGCTATGCACCCACATCTTTACTGCAAGCATAAAGGACAAAGCTGAGACACAAATCAGCATTAGCGAAGAGGTCAGCGTCGAAAAACACTGGGACAACCTGAAAGCGGTATGGAGCGAAACCTGCATGGAAGTTCTGGGCAGAAAGAAGAGACAGGACAAACCGTGGCTCACTACGGACACTTGGAGACTAATAGAAGAGAGAAGGATGGTGAAACAAAAGATTATTCAGTGCACCGACGAGCAACAGAAACAGGAGTTGAATGCAAGCTACAATACACTGAACAAAGGAGTAAAGAAGAGTGCCATAGAAGACAAAAGAAAGTATTATGAAGCCATGGCCAATGAAGCAGAACAAGTAGCAGGCAAAGGAGACCTCGCAACATTCTACCAAACAACTAGGTACCTCTCAGGCGAAAATTCGTCACAAATTAAGCCAGTGAAGGATGACAATGGAAAGTCAGTCACCAAAGAAGTGGAGCAAAGGAAACAGTGGGCTGAACACTTCAAAAGACTACTAAACCGACCGCCACCTACAACGCGCCCAACAATACCAACAACGGAAGCAGAATTACCAGTGAACATCAACCCCCCGAGGAGAACAGAAGTCCTGAAGGCAATCAAGATGCTGAATGCTGGAAAAGCAACAGGACCAGATGGAATCCCAGCAGAGGCATTGAAAGTGGACCCAGAGACAACAGCGGACTTGATGACGCCACTACTAGAGAAGGTGTGGAAAGTGGGCAAAGTACCCGAGGATTGGAAGAAAGGATACTTATTCAAACTACCAAAGAAAGGAGACTTAAGTCAATGCAAGAACTGGCGCGGAATTATGCTCCTGTCCATCCCAAGCAAAATACTAAGCCGCATCATCCTGGAAAGGATCAAACAAGCCCTGGATGAAAAACTTCGACCGGAACAAGCTGGATTCAGGAGAAACAAGTCATGTATCGATCAAATCGCCACACTACGGATCATCATTGAACAAAGTTTGGAATGGCAGTCACCTCTCTATCTCAACTTCATCGACTTTGAAAAGGACTTCGACAGCGTCGATCGAGAGGTGATTTGGAAACTACTTCGCTACTACGGGGTGCCGCCGACAATTATACATCTCATCCAACAGTTGTATGACAACGCTGCATGCCAAGTAATCCACAACGGGAAGCTCACGGAATCCTTCGAAGTGAAGACAGGAGTAAGACAGGGTTGCCTACTATCACCAATGATTTTCCTGATTGCAGTAGATTGGATAATGCGACAGACAGCGGGCAATGAGGAAACAGGCATAAAATGGACTCACACAAAGAACTTGGAGGATCTGGACTTCGCCGATGATATATGTCTGATTTCCCACAAACTGGAAGATATGCAAGTGAAAAGTAACAAGTTGGCAGAAGAAGCATCAAAGATAGGACTCCAGGTGAACATAGAGAAAACGGAGGTGATGAAGATTCCTGGCCAACACCAACAGCCACAGCAACAACAACAGACAGCAATCAGCATAAATGGAAGGAACCTGAAAGAAACTACCTCCTTTACCTACTTGGGAAGCATTGTTTCAACTACAGGCGGAACTGACGAGGATATCAAAGCAAGGATCGGGAAAGCAAGGCAAGCTTTCATTACTCTCAAGTCTGTGTGGAGGTCAACAGCATTCAGCGTCAAAAATAAGATCCGGATTTTCAACTCCAATGTGAAGTCAGTGCTACTATACGGATCAGAGACTTGGCGTGTCACAAAGAGCACCTCAAACAAGCTACAGACCTTCATTAACAGATGTCTTCGCTCAATACTCAAGATCAGATGGCCGGAAAGAATCAGCAACAAAGATCTCTGGGAGCGAACCAACCAGGAACCGATTGTGAAACAAATAGGCAGAAAGAAATGGAGATGGATTGGCCATACTCTGAGGAAACCATCAAGTGACATCACTAGACAAGCCATCGCTCGAGTGGAACCCGAAAGGGAAGCGGCGAGTTGGTCGTCAGTGTGAAGGTGGGGTGACTTGGAGGAGGTCATGTGAAGAGGAGATGAAAACGTGTGGGCAGACATGGAGCCAGTTGAAGACTCTAGCAGAGAACCGAACGCAATGGAGACGCATGGCTGAAGCCCTATGTTCCTCTAGGAACTAAAGGAAATAATAATAATATAATAATAATAATAATAAATGTTGATGATATTTTCCAGAAAATCACTTGTATTTCATAGGATTCATAGACATGCGAGAAACGAATTTCTGCAATTATCACAATTCAACTATCTTTAAAATTAAAGTATGTGGGATAAGCTAAGAGCAAACATCACAAGAAATTCAGATTTAAACTATAGAAAAAGAATAGGATCTACCAGACAGCCAAGTAACTCAGAAAAGCGTTAAGAAGTGTAAGGGAAGCTTAAAATATAGCACCATGGGTTTCTCCTATGTCTGAATTTTAACCTCGAAAACTGATATTTTACCCTCACATAAGTGGGGAATGCATTATTCACATTAAAGAGATATAAATTAGATAATAACATTACTGTCATTAGTTCGCCAAGTTACAAGTGCATTGTATGCCTTCAGGGGCACATCTATATTACACTTGGTCCCCTGTAATCACTTTCACTTGACTCCATAACTACTCTCAATAATTCATTTTTTCTTCACATGGTCTCCGTCACGTTTCACTGGGATACATGACTCCCCGCTTCCAGTCTGAGTTCCACTTGAGGGATTAACTTGAGTGTGGTATCACTTCAATACCTCCACTGAGGATGCCTAATCCATATCCATTTTCTCCTGCAGTGTTCTTGGTAATAGGTCGTCGGATAGTTTGCTGCATGAGTTATTTGTCATTTATTCTTTTTGGTGGTCACTAAAATAGTGCTTGATATAACTTCAATCTGCTTTAACAAAATTTAATTATCAAAATACGTACGATCAAAAGTTATGCTTAAAAGTGCAACTGTTGACGTTACTTTGAAACTTAAATGCTCATCACGCCTAACATGATTAAGGTGTTCGTGGACTTTTTCACCTATCTGGGCAACGCAGAATTACCGCTTTAAAGAAATCGGTCACATTTTTTCTGAACTGAAAGTGCAACTTTCAAAATAGCAACTGAACTGCAGTTATCAGTAGTAGGAAAGACCAGACATGTATTTAGATCCACTAGCAACTTGTACAAACCTGAGTTAAATGAAGTGATTTCCGACAATAACGGTACTTTGATTACCTCTCCAGACAGACGACTGTAATGTTGGAAGGAAGGCTCTGAAGAGTATGTCAGCTGCCCTATAGCCGCACTAAACTTCCCCAGCCTTCAGAACATCTGAGTGGGATGCACGCATACTTACTCAAACTGTGACTGAAGTTGCGAAAATTGTTTCTAACCTAGAACTAAGCAAGGTAGCGATAACCAGTGTTTAAGGATGGTGATGATAAGATGTTGACGGGGCTAACTAACACACTATGTAATGTGTGGAAATCCAAGATAGGCCCGTTGATGTGATGTAAATAGATTTACTTATCGACGTGCAACACCTGTCATGTTTCTTGTTTAGAATATGGCGCCTTAATCCTGCGACCAATCATCATACAGGTAAGCGGAATTTTGTACTATGTCATTTTCTGGAAATGTACTTTCCTGAAAATCAAAGTTAGTCAAGAGCTCAACAGCAAGAAGTGCAGTGCACGACTCAGACTTCCAGAGAAGAACGTATTTCGTGTAGCAGTGAAAGACAGAAAACTTCACAGTTTCCTCTTCGGTAAGTTATAAGTCTAGGTTGACATGGTGAACTCATTAAATGGCTCACGTTATTCAAAGAATTTTTAATAACGTCTCCTGGAGTGTACATTAAACCACCTATTATTCATCTAGATACATGAGCACATGAACTGATCAGATTAATAATATTCTGATTAAATGGATACACGATGATAAAAATTTCAAAATCAATAGTCCGCATAATTTAATAAGTTGATCATATAAGTTCGTGGACAAATAGGATCGATAAATCTACATAATGCAATTTTAGAGGATGATCACAGAGATAAGTTGAATAAATATATACCTATTGTTGAATACATATCTCAAAGTTAATTTAGCTATTCTACTATATGATGAAGTGCAATAATAGTCACTAAATTCTATTTATTGGGATGAGAAATTCCACCAGTGAGCTACTTTCATGGGGTTGTATAAAATTCTTTGCAAATAGAAGCTGACCGCAAACAATATTCCCAAATGGACAAAGACTAAATGAAAGCATGCAAATCGTAGTCTAAAGATATATGCTACTACAACCAAACAAGCCAGTAAGATAATGTTCCAATTTGTTATATCTTATCTCTTGCTTTATCATTTGCCTCGTAAGTTCTACTGGCTAAATTTCTTCACTACTATTCTAGTGAAGTAAGAAACTTAGAATAGAATGGAGGAGACCAATGCAATCTTACGGTTTCTATTTAAATAAGCAGGTGCAGGAAACATTATCGCTTATAGAAGCGCGCATACAGTGATAGAGTATTCTAGTCTGACTGTTAGTTAAAGTGATGAAACCGCCCAAAGTACTTGGACTTTTAACAAGTGGCTCCAGCAGCTGCAGTAATTAGTAACTACAGTTAACAAAATTAAAAAATAATCGTATATATGAATAAGCAAAATGGCCTAAAAAAAGATCCGGAAATGTTTAGTACAAATACCTGAAACATCAAGTGGATTAAATTTCATGGGGAAAAAGTCGTGTATAACTGGATTCACTTTAAGGATATACAAATTCACAGTACCCTTGCTAGAAGAAATAACTGAAAAACATAATCACAATAGGGGTTAACAGTATAGGCTGAATTCAAACAAAAGTTATTTCAATTGACAAGCATGAAGTAAACAATAAGCGAGGTTTCAAATTGCTTACATCATCTTCAAGAGAAGTGGAATCTCCATAAATCATTTTTATATTTCTCTATTGCGCCACATCTCCATATGGAGAATTTAATAATTAGGCTTCAATATATCATGACAAACTCGTATCAAGGACAAATATCGATTGTGCTTTATATTTGGTGGTATGTTTTATGCACCTCTCAGATATATGTTAACGTCTGCATATTATTTCAGAATTAGTTCAGCATCGTTGTAAGCTTAGAACATATTCCTTTTATGTACAAAGGCAGTGAAATTTACGTTCACATAACTTAAATTGTAAAGTGAAGCTTTTCACCAAGTTTTCTTCAAAAGAAGAGTGCAGAATATTGAAAATGGGTCATTTATATAATCACAACTTGAGAAAACCAACTAAACATTTCATCAAAATCCATGCGTTTTTTTATTATTTCGTGGTAAATCAGAATCAGAACTTGTATAATCAAACTCATCCGAAGAGTCGGTAGATGATGCTTGCAAATCACTGTCAGTATCCTCGTTGTCTTGATGTTCTGAGTCAGAATCATCAGTAAGTGAGTGAAAAAAACCCGCTGATTTCATATGGTCTGCGTCATTTAACAAGGGCAGGAACTCTCGAATGTTGTTATTGTCTGGTTCCAGCTCAAGGATCTGTTTCGCCAAATTTATAGCCTGTCGGAAATCTTTAGTCATAACACAATTAAGGAACTCCAAAAACAGGTCGATGTTAGAAGCTCTCGCTCCATTTATATCCCGGGCATTTGAATCGGAACATCCGATTATTGGGTATTTTGACATAATGTGTTTTTATTATACATTTATTCTGCGGATTTTGGTCGTTGTCAAGTTTGCTTATGCGTAACTTGGCAACAAGACTAAATCATTGCGTCAAACTGTGACCTGAACTTTAAGAAATTTGGATATTATAAACAAAAGGGCACAATCAGTTTCCGTGTCCCAATGAAATAGCCATTCACAGCTGTCATTCAAGGGTTCTTCTTACTTATTTTGTAAAGATTATACTGAAGATATTACTGCAGTCTTCTGATGTAAATACCTAAGACAAGTTTACAAGGGCCTGTGTTTATCGCCCTTCCCAAAGTCTTTTTAAGGGATGATGCATGTGATATTATTCATTGCTTAATTTTGTGGAATCTATTATTGGTCCCCAAGGTCTCTGCTGTTGCTAAGTGAAGATAATAATTACTGAAAACGCACTGCTTTAAAAACACGCTTAGTAACACTAACTGTCTTATGCAAGATTGAGTACTCCTTTTCTCAGACAGTAGTATATCGCACTAAACTCATTTGACAATAACATTTACAATAAGAAATCTATTTTTAAAATGATTGAAGTCGAAGTTTCGGTGATAGGTAAATTTATTCACGCTGGAACTTGGATGCTGAAATCCACTGTTTCATTAGACTTATATTAACAGCCTTCGGTAAAGCATCCTAGCAGTTTGACATGCATCATGTCTCATTTGCTTTCGCCTTTCCACGTAGGCAAAGAATATATTTCTTTTTTGCATCACCAATCCCGAAATGTACATTTTATTTCAGATGACCAAATTTTTATCATCGTTTAATCTCACTAGCTAGTTTTGGCGTGTAATCCTTTAAGTTCTGAAGGTTCAGAGGATATCACGCATGTGCTACGACCACGAGTAAATCAGTTCCTCACAGTATAGACTGGTGAACCTAGCACCGACATTCAAGTTGTGTGTATTTGCTGCATTCGGAACCTATTAATTTTTTAAAATATTGTTAGTATCCTTCTGTGTGACCACCATAGGTGAGCAAACAACAAAACCCAAATACATTAGGCCGAAGACACGTGACAGATTCTCCCACTCAGGTTTTAAACTAATTGGGTGAAGTTGACGTTTCCTTATTAGTGAGCTGATTTCCGAAGGAAACTGTTACACTCTTTAGTATTCATGAATATATGTTCCTTAGTAGAGATATTCGGTAAGCCATGCCGATCGTATTCGCCAAAGTATTATGAAACCATTGCAAGATTCCTAAAATGGCTTTGCCATAGAAGAACGCCTACTGAGTCCCTCAGTATTTCGTAATGTAGAATTATCAGATAGATCCAGTGAAGAGATGTGTGAAAGAACACAGTGGAGAAACTTTTGAAGAATTCTTGTTTGTTTACGTTTCCACAGCTGCAGCATAATGTGCTAGTTACATTTTAGAAAATCCACATTAATAACTGCCACTGAAAGAATGCCAGAAGTATGTCAGTTACTCATTTTTGAAGGGTCTACGTCCTATGGGATGCTTACTGGAAACATATCCAGGATAACATGTTTGCTTAGCTCTGTTAAAGAGTTTTCTGTCGCAATAGCCTTCTTCCCTACACTAAATTGCTTTAGTAATGTTTGCAGGAAATGTCGTGCTTCACACCTCGAGTCACAAGTTCCATAATAATATTATTAATAGATTTCTTTCTGTCTCTGCTTGCACACACTATATTTACAAGTTTTTATTTCGGATATGTAATCACCACTGAGAAGGATGTTCCAGAACTTCTGACAGTGAACTAGACGGTTTAATGTGCTCAAAATGTCAATAGGGGGAAAGTGATTAAATAATAGTCACAATCATAATGTATGCATTACTCTCAGTAGCTAGGAAAAGACGCACCTTAAAGTAAATATTTAACATATCTTCGTTACCTGTGAAAATCGAATATTCACATGAATTTTTCATCAAGTGTTGTTTTGTGATTAATTAATCTGTGCAAACTAGTGGAATCAGTTAAATTAGTTTTCAATTTCCTAAGTTTCCTACGATGGGTGGTCAAGATAGTAGGTTCCTCCAACGTCAATATGAGTAACAACACTGTGTGATACAGTTTATAAGGTAATTGGGAAATTGTGTCTAAATTTGCCAGTTGTGTTTCTTTTTCAGACTGCTGGCGGAAAATAGGAGGGAAATTTAGATGAGCAACTACAATGGGTTAACACAAAGTTTTGGGAAAGATTTGACAGTGGTAACATGTGAACCGCGAATGATACCAACATCGAAATAGTGCGCCTCCGGCCTAAGTGAAGTTTTTTCAGTCTTATTTTGCAAAAGGAGTAGGAAAAAAGACTAAAACAGATAGTAGGGTACCAGGGTAGAGGCGATTTTATGTATACACTTATGTACTACGAATATTCTTAAAAATAATATGTTGTTTAATTGGACTAATCTGTGGCTATAGGTCTCTGAAATAATTTAGAGAAAAGTGCGGCTTAGCATTCAAGCGGCATCAGGGAATGCATCGTTTAGACAGTTATAATAATACCACTTTCTTGGATGAAAGCAGGCGTTTTTTACAGGTGAAAGCAAGTGAACAGTATAATTACTTGCTGGCGATTGTGGCACCAAATCTTACTACAAAACTGAAAAGAACACAAAAGTCTTCTTAGATTCAATAGCCAAAATATTAGAATTGAAATAACTAGTCAGACAAATTTCTGAAGAAGACATCTCAAGGTCATTTTCAGTTTGAACTGTCTGTGAGAAGTGCTTGGTGTGTGATTCTTGCTGGAAAAGTTTTGACTTCACTCTAATGGAAATATTCTGCTTGTTCTACATACGCTTCTTACGGTTGATTTTTTAACTTATTCTGTTTTGACAGAACTTGTCTTGTCCTGGGGAATTCTCTGACGTTAACAGATACCCGAAGTTGTTGTTGAGGCAGTTTTGAATTTTCAGTATAGTCTTACTGATAAATAGTTTCACAGAATTTGTCGCAAATGACCACCTTTTCGATTCCCTCAGATGCTAGGAGACTGTGCGTCATTCGAGGATGGTTTGGTTATCTATACAGTAGGACGCGAAGATTGGTTTCCATGATTCACACCACAACATGTAGGTTTTGGTAGCTATGGCAACTAACATACCGAGGCAATGTGCCTTAAAAACGCACAATGAAAATGATTAGGGGACCTACGGTGGAAAAGGGGAAAATGGCCCCTGGGATGTACCTCCAGAAATATGATGTGTCTTTTCTGGTTTACTTTCATTTTACGGCTCTAATTTGAGGTTAGCTAGTTGTCATTTGAGGACAAAACCGGAGACTCTGACTGCACGTAAGAAACCTCTATTTATTAAGTTACAATTTAATGGTGACTTATCAAGTGAGATTCTATTCCAAAGACTTTCAAGGAGTATACGAAGAACATTTTATGCAGCACACCTATGTTTGTCATTCTCTAGCCGACGAATGATTGGGACGCAAACGAAGGATATTTCATTGTTTATAGGCAGTCGCGTTCCCCTATTAGCTCAAATAATAAGATTGAAACTGACTGAATGAGTCAATAAATGCTGTAAATGTAACGCAACGGTATACGCCTAGGGTTGTCCAAGTTTAAACCCTGCTTCTTTGACGAGGAGCCATTCAAGCACTGGGAATTTTCCAGGTTCTTTGAGTTCTATGTTGTCTCGAAGGGGGAAGATAACGGATAATGTCTCTAATACTTGTTACTTCATGCCTCTTTAGAAACCCAATTTTCTATTTTAAAACTTATTCCAATTACCGATCGATAGTTCCTGATACTGTAAGGGACTAATTATGTTTTTAAATCCTTATTTTCGAAAGCACGGCAGATGTCAAGTGAAGAGGCAAACCCAGTCAGACACACAGAAGAGGCATCCATCAATCAGTAGGTGAAGAAGGCCTTCCAAATAGTAAAAAGGATATATTTCTCACTCTGTTAATGGTCCTACCCTTCTGAGTTTCTGAATTACTAATCGAATCCATAGTAATAGTTTTACCCACGGCATCTTTTGTATTGGATTTCTTTCTTCTTGGTTTTTGATTTTCTGCAATACTCTCTGAGAGATTAGTAGCGTTTGGCCTGGTTTTTAGAGGGGCTGATTCTCTTGTCCGTGCAGTATTAATCTTGCATTTCCGCATCTTCCTTTCTTAAAGTTCAGTGTTGATTTATTCATGAAGAAGTACGGTCTCCTTCTTCAAAACTGGAAACCAAAATATAACTCACCGTAACGCAATTTCAAAAAAAAGCAAAAATCTCTTTCTTTGTCTCGTTGAATAAACAGAGGCATACTTTATGAATATGTCCTTCTATATCTATCATCATTTGGAAAGGAAATTAAGTGTATTTTTATAAGCATTCATGTATTTAGTTGTATTTGGTCCATCAGTTATTTGTTCCTTAGTCTTCCTAGAATTTTCCATGTGATTGTTAAACTCGCCAGGTAGTTTCAGTGTGCTTCCGAATACCTTTTCAAAAGCGGGACATTAAGCATCACTTTTCAGTGATGTTTGGATACCAAGCATTACCAGTGGTAGGAATTCTGTCCAGTGAGTGGGGTTACAGTGAGACGTCAATGCAGCCTACAGTTGTTAGTGAAAGCGCTCCATCACCTCATTAGCTTGAAGGCAACCTGCTGTGTAGTCCGAGGACATGATGTCAGGTGTCAGTGTTTTCTAAGCGAACGTCTCGACCTGAGTTAAATTGGCGGCCTCTAGCATGATGGGGACTTTTATCGGCCTTTGTTTTTAGTATGATACTGAGTGCAGCTCCTGCGTCAACCAAGAGGTCTGTGCCACACTGTTTGTTTTCGGCGTAAAATAGACAACTTTCACTGCGGCCCTTCTCAGTTGTAGATACCTAAGTATAGATCAGTATTTTCTCTATTGTTTGTGGGGTAATTTACACCAGGCACATGGTTATGTGAATTCTGTTGACTTTACACCAACCCCCAGTGACAGCAACAGAATTAGCCTGTTGACCAAGTTTGTTTGGGTCTACTCTCTGGCGGAGAACGTGCCCTGCTGGTAACTTACTTCCCCTGCCCTGTGTTAGCTGTCTTGGTGCTAGTTGTTCCGTTAGTGATCTAATGTTGGCTACTAGTTCGGAGATAACTGGGTCTTTTCGCTC